TCGAAATTTGTGTAGTTAAATTGAACGCAAAACGAGAAATAAAAAACATAAACTCCGAACATGAATATTTTTTTTATTCAAATAAAATGGTAAACATTTTCGTGTTAATCAAGATCTTGATCTCAAATTTGATCAACCTGGTTTCCTTTGGACTAGTAAGCTGTCTTAAGGGGTCATGGGAGTCTTACTCTTAAATATTTCGTTAATCTCAGAGAGCCGCGGAACTATTTACAAAAAAAAAGTCTTCGTTGCCATATATTCGTCATTGGCATCGTTTAAAAAACTAAATCCCTATAAATCATTTCTCCATCCGGGCGACGGCGGTGCCTTATCTTTTGAATATTTTTGCCGATTTTTATTATAGTCTTTGTTTTTGAATTCTTTTTCGGATTTCGGTTTACAATAGCAGGCACGAGCCTGAGCATCCAGATAAGATCTGAAATCATTTGAAAAAAAAAAACATATTTAGTGGATAAGCGAAAAGATATATGAAGAAGTTGGTAGTACCTGCAACCAAGGGTGATAGTTCCAGTGAATAACATTTTGGCAGCGGCCTTACAACCTTTCGAAACAACCGTGCCAATGGTCGTTTTTTCATGTGTGTCACAATAATTATACAGACATCTCTTAAATTCTATATCACATAACTCTTTATCTTTGTTGCAGGTGTCGTAGCAAATGTCATGATCGTTACAACAATGTTCCATCTCAACGGCCGGCAAGTATTCTTTGTTAATGTTCAATCCCAACGAACCACAACCATTAGCTGATGGTGTGTACAATCTATTCTTAACCGGTGTCACGTCTGTAAATATATCAATTGAATGAATGGATTTTCTCAAACCAAAGTGGAAAATAAAAAAAATCTAAAAAACTTTGAGCTTATAAGGTAATCAAATCAGCGACTCACCTCCAGGACACTTAAAAATACAAGTTTCTTCAACAGCTGCATCGAATACCGAATGTACCGTCTGAAATTTGCGCGCAACATGTATTACATTCTTGAAAACATCGCCAAACACTGCTTCGGCCGCAATGATTGCGTCACGTAAATTATGGATTATATTTGAACCATAACCCGAATATGCGTAAGTCAAAAAGGTTAACGCATAAATAGCGATTCGCATATAGTTCACTTGCATGTTTATCGTCTTCAATGATCACCGCACTGATTCAATATTTATTTTGTCGATCGTTTTTAAACCGAATTGCTGTCTTTCGTTTCAATATGCACGGCTTATATCCACGTAATTATCTGAATTAAATCAACACGATTCACTTTATTTTATTTTAATTTTTGGGTGGCCAAAACAGTCTGTCTTATTTTTAAAAAGCTATTTATTTTGAGTCATATTTGAGTTTCGTTTTCTTTTTTCACACTCTTTCAGCAGTCGAATGACATTTCGACGCTAAAAACACGTAATTTTTTTTTTTAAATGACATTTGTCATACATTGAAGTACATTCTATTAGGGCGCAATATTTGAAGAATAATTTCAATGCCTTCGTTTTAAATATATTCTTTCTTAAAAACGTATCAGAAATTATTCTAGAACAAAAAAAAACACCAGAATAAATAAGTTGACCTCTTGCGAAGTTGGAACCAGAAGGCACATCATTTATTTAGTTATGAATACCTTTTTTGAATACACATTTTACGACGTGTGAGAGTGTTCTTTTCTATAAATTGTTATTCGCTTGTTATTTGACCATCAACGCCTCGTGATTGCAACATCAAAAACAAAATAATTTTTATAATTGAAATTTCATCATTTTTAATATGTGCAATAGTGGCAATTAAAAAGAAGAAAAATGTGTAATTCGATTGGTATGCAATAGATGTCGCTGTGTTTTAGGCTTGTCAATAGTGAAAAACAGAGACATTGACATATGTGTAGACAATTTGCAATGTCGTGCAAAGCTGTGCAATAAAACACAATCACAACGCAGTGATGAAAACTCTGTGTATATCGACTATTTGGGAAATCGAGTGAGCGACACGCAGACCAAAAAAACAATTCATTAGAATAGCTGTATTTGTCGCAGTTTGTATGTATTCAATTAGTGTGTGGTTTTTTGGTGTACTCTCTATATTGCTGTGCGTATTTTGGAACAACATCGATGGTGTCTGTCTCTGGACAAGTGTAACATCTGAATAAAGTGAAATTTTCTTCATTTCATCTCTTCTACACGGGTTTTTTGCTCGGCTTACTTTTACCAACAATATAGTTTATTGAGCAAGGCTCAAGCAGTAGCAACTTAAAGCGCACACAACTACTCAAATCGTGCAAATAAACATTGAAAACAACACAATTTTTCTATGCCTTTTTTGCTCTTCTTATTTAAACATTTTTTTTTACAAAACTACAAAAAAAGAAAATTCGGCTAAATGCTAAAAATTGGACGGAGCAGCTGAGTGTTTGCATTAAACAATAAAGAATTTTTACTTAAATCGTCGAAAAAAGTGCTTAGTGTTTTAACTAAATCAGAGAAGAAATAAAAGAGACTTTGTGATTTAATTCAATGAGATTCAATGATAAATGACATCTATCAAATTAAAAGAGAGCAAAGACAGTAAACACAATAAAGACAAATAGAAACTCAATAGTTGGCATGATAGCTCTTAAAATTGAAATGAGGAAGAGACAAAATATGCGAAATGTGTTTGAATTTCTGTTTTATTTTTTTAAATAATTAAAATACATATTTAACATTGACAAATAAATTTGGTTCCGTAAAATGAAAGCGTACATAATATACAGAGCATTTGTTTTGATTCAAACACACAACACAAACAAAAACCATATACACACGCCAAAAGGAGTTAAAAAATGAAATCAAATGTGTGATTTGGCTACTGATTTTTTTACATTTTATGACGAGTGTTTTATGATCAAACATTTATATGTTTGCTAAAAGCAATATATTGTGTGCAAAAGAGATTCATACTCCCATTTCAATAAAAACCAAAACAAAAAAAGTGTCTATATCCCGATTTGGTTCGTGTTGTATTTGTCGCATGAGTAAATCTGATAAAATATTACTATCACACCAACCAGAGACAAGAACGATCAAAGATAGAACGAGTCAGAAAAGCACACATAGAAAGAGATAGAGCGTATGTGGTTCAGAAGTACCTGCAAAAATCGCTGTAGCGACCCAAAAATCAACCGTGCATATTCAGTGTAATGTTGATGTGCTCCAAAACACTTGTGATCTTTTGATGTTTATTGTGTTCTATTTTGCTATTTTCAAAGGCTGTGCAATGTTTTTGGAGTAGGAAATACAAAACAAAAATATATATATTATCTAGCATTAATCCAAACCCAAACAAAACAAAAAGTGCAGTGACAATATCCGAATACGATTGAATGTGATGTGCAAAAAAAGCTATATACTAATGACCGGAACAATGACATCGTGGAAAATGTGTTACTTGCACCGTGCTCACTTTGAATGAATGAAATCGGCCTAGGCCAGAGAAAAGCAAAACTCATTATTAATTATGCTCGCATAACGCCACAAAGGCAAATCGTCTTTTTTTTCATTCGTTCATTTCGGTGTCGTTAAACACGCAATTTCGCTCAGATTAAAGCAGTTTGCGTGCAAGTGTGTCGTTCGAATTTTTTGTTTTTGATTTTCTTCTGTGTCTTCTTCTTTTATATTGGATCGACAATCAAAACGGATTGATTTTCAAAGCAAACATCTAACGGAAGATAATAAAAAAGGGGAAAATTCGCCCAAAAAAAGAGAAACAACACAAATTGAAATCGCACTGTAAATAGTAGAAAAAAATGGGCGAGAATGGTCAAAATGACAATACCAAATACAATGAAAACGCCGAAACGGGTTCATCATCGGTAAAAAATCAACAACAACAACAACAAACACAGTCACAACAGCAACGACAACAAACCACAACCAATCGCTTTGCTGATTATTTTGTTATCTGCGGCTTAGATCAAGATACAGGCCTTGAACCTGACCGATTTGCTGGTACGTATTTTTACATATAGCATCACTTCACACCATGTCGATATAACACTTTATTTTTTTTTTATGTCAATTCACATCTGCGCAATTGATATTCGATTGAGCGCATGAAAACATGAATTTGCTGCATATTCAGTATAACAAAGTGTCGAACACATTCCCCGCCATTAAATCATTTGTTATTAATATTAATTACACTGTTGCGCACACTTTCGCTATACGTCATAATTGTGCGCGAAAAAAAGAGTTTAAATAAAATGTGTATGGCTTCGCTTCGCTTTTGCATCAATCACAGTAAAAAAAATACTCATTCAATTCAAAGTGCTCAATTATACTTTGTAAAAAAAGAGAAAAAAAACAGGAGAAGAGAAAAACGGTCGAATAAATGTTCGTTTTACGTATCAATTACCAATTCACACTTTTAAATGAAATTTCATTTACTTTTAACATATCTTTTTCAACGGCGAGGAATTACAGATTAAAATTTAAATACATAAACTGTTCGCCGAGATTTTTTTTGGAACACAAAGTTGTAATTTTTGTTTCCCTTTCCCTTGGTCGGCATTTCTTTCTTCGAAAGTACAATGACCATTTGCATTTATCATAAATAAATGATTAAGTATGCGCTTATCAAAGAGAAAAAGTTCGCATTTAATCATCGACAGCCATTGAACACGTCCGAATCGAATTCATTCATTTGCATCCGCATACAAATGGCGGCTATCTTTAATGTTTTGCACCAGTTTATTTTTGCCATTCATTCCAATTTTGTTGAATGGCGTGCGAAAACCGATTCAATCAAATGCATCACACAAAAAATAAACCTAACAAATCATTTTAGGATTCCTATTAAAATATTAATTTGTAAGGTTTCCTTCTAATATGGCAACATTTTATTAGGAAACCTTTAAATAATAAAACATGTTTTGTTTCAACACAGTGAGGTTGGATTTGACGTTTAAGCGCGCCAATTTATTAGGATTCCTGTTAAAATATTGCGATTTTATAAGGAAACCTAACAAATTCATTTTTTAATAGGAATTCTAAAATAATTTGTGGGGTTTATCTCTTGTGTGATGAATTGGCAACTAATTAATTCGCCTATCAAACATATCCGCTTCGATGGATATCATTATATATTTGTCAGAAGATCGACAATACATTCCAAAAAAATATGTTCATTGCCATTTTAAAATTGCATGGTTTTTTAATCGATTTTTCGTACAATTCAAATATTTGATCGATTAACGCATTTAATGCGAATTTTATAATGATACTGACAATCGTATTATTTACAGTAGCAACCATTATTTTACCTCTACTATTCAGAATAGTCTATTCAAGCAAACAACATATTGCACAATTGTTTTTGGTTTTTGGTTTTTTAAGTTCAAAAACATAGGGTTCATTAACACCAGCTATTACTCAAACGCTAGTTAACCGCTAGTCACAAACATGTAATTTCATTCGAAACAAAGAAAAAACAACCACACAATTCATGTAATTCATCATAAATTAAACACCATTTAAGACCAGTTTATGCTTTACAAAGACTTGCCGAAACTCTCATAATTATTCTATTTCCCAACAACATTTCAACACTTTAGATTTGTGAGCAAAAATATCTTCTGAGAAATCTCCAAAATTCTCTTTTTAGAATTTAATCTACCAGTGTTGGTACAGAGTTTGTGGTCAAATCATAGAACGGAAAGCGAAATGTTGATAACAAAAAGTGAAATTATGTAAAGATGATTGTATCAAAATTAAATAAACTTTCACGAACAAAGGAAACGGTGTCATAAACTTTTTATGGCTGAAACAAAAATTTCCTCAATTGATAACATTGTTATTCTAAGTACAGTCGCAAGGGACTGTTTGTGCAACCAATGCATTTTCTACAAAACCAATTCAATGATTCAGACGATTCACTTTGAACATTCCGACGAACATTGTATCATTTGTTTATTTTTGGTTTGAGTCATATTTTAACAAATAAATAATTCTGTTGTTTCAAACGAAAAATCTCAATTTGCTATCAGATGATTTTGTGTAAATTTTACAGCGCACTGAACTGGCTACATATTTTCAAATTTTATTATTTTGGTAGATAAGTAAAAGAAATTGGATAAATTGTGTTTCGTTATATTTGTTTGGCAGGCGATAGTCTTCATTGTCCCCCATTGGATCGAGCTTATAAGAGTAAACCGTTGGCACATTATCCGGAGCATGTATCATGGAATCCATTCGATTCGCACGGCATTTGTATGTTGTCATTGCCTCAAGGTTTACGATTTCGCACACAAAAACATTCAATCGAACCACATTTTCATTCGTTTGCTACGACTCGTGAGGACGGCAAACGATGCCATGGATTCAGTTTGATATTTTACGAAGAAATTCGAAATCAGGATATTTGCGATGCAATGCATACGCTTCAGGTTAGTAGAAAATAGCAAAATTGCTGGCTAATTAGTTAATTAGGCCATTTCAAGAGTGATTAATACAAATTTTCCATCCATTTAGTCGATGTTCATGACAGAGCTCTCGAATGGACAGTCGTCGCCCGGTCTGCAACGCGTAAAAGATAGCCCGATATCTCGGTCATTACCGCGTCACTTTAAATTGGCAGCAAATACGCCCGCGTCAGCGGTGAGTTATTACAAAATCAACAAGGATAAATTGTACGTGGCAAAAAGTATATCGTTGGTATGCCAGGTGGCCTACGCCCATGTGGCTGAGATATTCTTAACCAATTTATATAAGTAAGTGTGTAAAGCAAACAAAAAAAAAACACGAGCGTTGGCATTGAAATCGAAAACCAAATAAACACTGAAATTAGTCGTCTAATTCGATTTTTGCGCTCGAAACATTAGTTTTGCGTCGAAAATATTTACGCATTTTTTTTCTTCGTTTTATTCCATTTACATAGATGTCTTCCTCGTCAGCCGGGCCCAAGTTTGAGCCTTGAGAGTTATGTGTATAACATTTTATATGAAGTCATAATTCCAGAACCGGGTCGTTCGATTCGAATCTATTTACCACCCGATGAACCTCATTTACCTCCAATACCTACAATTCTACAGCGACCTGGCCTCTCCGATGAATTACCTCTTATGGACTTTCCAATTCGTTTGCTATTTACGTACATCGGTGTTGAATGCGTGATACAGCTCTTCACTTGCGTTTTACTTGAAAGTCAAGTGCTACTTCGATCATCTGGTATAAATATATACGTTTTTTTTTTGCAAATTTCTTCTTTCATTTATACGCTCAATTAATCACGCTAATTATTTATTACAATTTCTCACTCACAATGTGTGTTTTTTTGCGCACAATTTTTTATTTGTAGATTATCAGAAGCTGATGATTGTTGGTGAGTGCATAACGGCGCTACTGTTTCCATTTGTTTGGCCGCATGTTTATGCACCGATACTTCCAGTGGCGTTACACCATTTTCTCGATGCGCCCGTTCCATTTGTAATGGGTTTGCATGCCGATTCGGAAAGTTACTTAAAAATTGGCAACGAAGCCACACTTTGTTGTGTTGATATCGATAAAAAGACTATACAATTACCTGAAGAATTGCCGCTATTTCCACATCGCAGTGATTTTATTGCCGAAATTTCGGCTATTTTGGATAAATTCAATGTTAATTATCGTGATAAAAGTGTTCGCGATGTGGTACAGTCAATGTCAAGCCAATCGACCACAAATAGTTCCATTGCATCGAACATTTTTTCGTCAAGGGTAAAAGAAATTGATTATTTTTTTTTATTGCTCTGCTCAATTGCCAACTATTTTTCTTTCAAGAGTTTCTTTTCATTTCAATCAATTTCACTTTCAATGAGCTAATTTTCATAAGAGCTCTTTTTTTGCTCTTGAATTTCTTTTCAATGTGCTCTTAATAATTCTGTTCACATTTTTTTATTGGTCATCAAAAATGAAATGTGCCATTAAAACTTTTTATTTCTTTCATTTTTTCCTCTAGCGCAACGATGATGTGATGACATCGAGTTGTACGCTACCATCTGGAATGCATGCGAGGCGAAAGTTATCGTTGCATGACACATTTGATTGGGATCGTCCATCGTCGCCAAATGCATTAGATGGACAAACACAACCATTGTTGGCTCCAGCATCCGATCGAATTACCCAAAAACCACCACTGAACAATGCAGCATTACCGCCACGAATTGGTGATATTGTACGACGTAGCGGCGTTACAATGGATGAAATTGATTGCAGCAATGATGTTATGCCAGCGAAACGAAGAGGACCATTGTCACAGCATGAACGTTATTGCGAAGACCTTCGATTGAACAATTCAGTTCGCGAAATTTTTTTAAATCGTTTCGTTCAAATGTTTGCCACTTATGAACATTTTGTCATTTGGCCAAATCAAGATAAAAATGAATGGCTTACAAATCGTGAATCGCTACAAAATTTTGATAAGGCATCATTTTTATCCGATCAACAACAACATCATCGACCATTCTTGAGCCGATTTCTTGAGAGTCAAATGTTTGCCACGCTCATCGACAATAAAATTATGGCCATGTGGGACAGTGACATCGATTCGAACTTGAAACTATTCGATAGCCGCATTAAAATACTCAAGTTTGTATAAATTACATGAAAATCGCAATTTTGGTTGCTCATTTCAATTTTAAATTCAATTAGCACAGTTTGGATTCTATTTTAAAATGGCATTTATGATTTTTGTTGTACTTCGCAATGGAGAAATTAGCATTTCGATCCATTTTTTTCCAATTCGATTCAACATTTAACTTTGATATTAAATCACACATTGACTTTATATGTAGCGCGTGAATCCATTTCAATTCATTCGATTCCGATTCATGCATAAGCATTGAATAAATTTGGCAAGCTCTTTGGAACTTGGTCAATTTTCTATACTTTTTTCTATGAATTTCACTGAAATTCGTATTGATCAAAAATGACAAAAATTAAATTACAAATCGAATTTATAAATAAAACATGGCCTGAAAACGGAATCAAGCCACAGTGGAAGCCAACAAAAAATAAAATTAATCTCAATTATTCGCATCTTTGCCAAATCGAAGTATACAAAATGAAAATTAAGCCATTTTATAAAATAGAATTCATTTCGCTGAATATCAATATAACTAAATTATCTTTTTTTACTTCGTCAAATTGTAGAAAACGTCACGGTGGCGAAAATATGATTCGTTCAGCAAACTATGAACCATGCATTTTGGCGCGTGAAACGCAGCGATTTTTAGATAAACGATTGAACAATGTTGATATGGAGGTGTCTGCTCCAAGTGAAATACTGCCAAATCGTCCGGCATATTTCCGTAGTTTTCCGACATTGGAAAAGTCGGTGTTGAGTCAGGAGTCGGCATCGAGGTAGTGTAGTTGAATCGAAATACAAACAAAAAAACACACACACATTCACATTCCAAACACCACATTCGATTGTAAAGTGCAACATCTTGGATTTTAAAGGCATTCACTCAGACTATAACTTAAATATGGAATCTTTGTTGAACCTATGATTATTATTATGATTTTTTTTTCTCTTTTTTGCATTTTTCTTATAAAAAAACAACAAACATTCTCTGTTTTTTTAGAATTGCTTTCTTAATTGGTTTTTCTATTTCATAATTTATTGCTAAGTGTTCACTTTATTAAATCCCTTTTTTTGTAGTATTTATACAAACCACAATTTTTCGTGCAAAATCAAGCGAATTCGTTCAATTGTTATTGTTAGTTTAACTTGAAAAATCTGATTTTATGTATATTTTGAAAAGAATTTTGTTTTTAGTGATATATAGATTTTGTTTCTCTTTATTTGACATTTATTTGCTGCGATGATAACTCATTTATATTTGCTATTTCATTTGCATGAATCGAAAAAGAAAACAAGCATGGTGATGTTTTGTGATTGAATTAGATATATTTTTTCACTCGATATTATAATTCGCAATAATAATTCAATGGAAATCAATTTTAGGCTATTTAGAACTGATCAAATCAAAAGCAATTTAAATACTACTAATTATGAAGAGCATTCAAGACAGGAAAAAACTCACACACAAAAAAAAAAAAACATAAAAATACGGAACATTTTGAATCTCTTGCTTTCATTTTTTACACACGCTCACACACATGCATGGGAAATGAAATAGAGCTGTGCATGCAAATTGTTAGAAATGAAAAACTCTGTATGTGTGCGCGTGTGTGTGTGACAAAAGCAAACAAATAAAAACAAACAAATGCATGAAAATATAAACAGTCCGAACAAAATTTATATGATTCACCCGCAACAACTGATAACAAAGCATGACATCAATAACAAAAATTTAAGTTTTTTTCTGTTTTGTTCAATAAAGGCTTCCATTTTTTATTAAATTTAATTTTATCGTATTTTAGATAGAAACGAAATTGTTTTTAATTTAATTATTGGATTAAACTGAAAAACATTTTTTCTATACACTAAAAAAAACAATCAATTTTATTTGATTATTTTATATATTTTATTACATATTGCAAGTTTCTTTTTTTTCATTTGTTTATTATTATTTATTTGAACGCCTGTTGTCTTGTGTATATTTTGTTTTGTGTAAATATTTTCAAAAATTCATTTCATTTTCGTATGATTCAGCAAGAAAAAAAATTCTATATCCGTAGACACACTGTAATGCAATCGAATATCCAAAATATTTGAAGAAAAAACAAAAGTGTTTTTTATGTCGGTCACTTTTAAAATGTTTTACATTTTCATAAATTTCCAATGAATAGAGGCAACAGTTTGCGCCGTTTTAAAAATGGTTCAAAATGGCGCACCAGAGAGATATCAATCGATGGAAAACCGCCGACATTCAGTTCAAGCAGTGCAGCTGCCGCCGCAGCAAATCGAAATTCAGCAAATCTCGCAACTACCGAACTGAGTCCCGCACTTTTGGCACAAGCCAATTGGACATTTGTTGAAAAATTATTAAAAGTTAGTGGTTTTTTTCTCTCTCTCTCTCACTTTCGCACATTCTGTTCCTTTCAACTTCAGACTGAAAATAATTTTTGATTTTATTCGCATGTGAATTTGTGTTTTTTGCTGAATATTTCTTTTTATCATGGCCTATACTTGCTTATTAGGATTGTAAGAGTAAAACGAAACGAATGTTACTGGAGAAAATGGGCACCGAAGCGATTGCACTTGGTCTAAGTGGCGAAGTGTCTGTGATCGGTGTGGAAGAGAATACAATGATTGCGTCGTTGTGTGATTTATTGGAAAAAGTTTGGTCACATGGTTTAACAAATAAACAAGGCAAATCAGCACTTTGGTCTCATCTTCAATCATATTTAGATTCTCATGATGATAGTAGCCATCCACCGAAAGATATTGATACCACTTTTCTTACGCCAGGTAATTCATCAAAAACTAACCGCATTTAATAAATGAAAAATACAATTTGTAAATAAAATTTCTATTCACGCTGCGTCTTCAACAACTTCTTCAAATGGAATTTAGCTGTCGCCTGGAGTGCGATGCGGAAACGAATGGATTGTACGTGTAACCATTTATTGAGAGTGATTTAATGGAGTGTTTTGGTTCTTGTTTTTTTTTTCTTTCGTTTAATTCAATTCATTTTCAATATATTGAAAGCTTCATCAGAAGCTTTCTGTTTCTGGTTAATGTATTTACTAAAAGCACCTTTTATTATCTCTCACCTGTATTGATTTTGTGTGTGATTTTTTATGACTTAAGTGGAGATGGATTGATTATTTTTCGATTTTGATTTATAAGGTGTGTTTGATAAAGCACGATTTTTTTTTGATTGTATGTCATTTTACCATTGATAGATTTATCGTCACTGGCCATTGAGAATGAATCACCACGTAGTCCAACTAGAGGTAGATCGAAATCACGTGATAGAAAAGATTCAACACCTGATCAACTTCGTACATTGCCAGAATCATTAGAATTTGACATCAAGTGAGCAACATTTTAATGAGCACTTTTTTTTTCAGTATTTAAATGTTTTTGAAGAGAGAAAATTAACAAAATCGTCCCCTTTTGAACTTTCTCAGAAATATTCTTGCCATGACCGATATCAAGACGCATATTGGTTATGCACGAGCATGGGTTAGATTGGCATTGGAGAAAAAATTGTTATCAAAGCACTTCAGAACACTGTTATCCGATACCGCACTGCTTCGAAATCTTTACAAACGCAACGCATTTGTTCGTTGTGAAGAAGAAAAGGAGCAATTTCTTTATCATTTACTTACATTAAATGCCGTCGATTATTTTTGCTTCACCAATACTTATCCAACCACAAGTATGTACAAATATACGGAATCGATTCGATTGTAGAGAAAATGTTTGATTAAACCTATATATCTTCATTTTTTTGTGCAGAGTTACCGTATCGAGTTGTGATATTTCCATCGAAAAAATATGGGCCAGTAACAACAACTGCTAACGTATGGGTGGCGATATCGGGTACATTGTGCGAAACTCAACAAGTGACCATTCCACGCAGTTCTCTTGAATTTGTTTTTCATGTGAGTACCTTCATCGCCCAATTCAAAGAAACTGCAAAATAATATCACTTCATTCGCATTCACTTTACAGCATAAGAATTTAGGTATATTAACAACCCTTCGCATCGGTCATGATAACTCTGGTCCATCGCCTAAATGGATGGTTGAACATATACTTGTTCGAAACGAAGTCACCGGCCATACCTACAAGTGAGTATTTAAAATTGAAAATATCTAGCGGAAACGATAAAAAAAATCACTTGATTTTAAATTAGATTCGCTTGTGGTCGATGGTTGGGTCGTGGCGTTGATGACGGTTCAACTGAGCGATTATTAGTAGGTCAATTGGTACCACGGACGGTTGATAGTGAAGAATTAGTTGAAGTTTGCCGAACGCCACCGCGATCGGTTAGTCCGAGCGTACATCGACCGGAAATTCGACCATCTGATATTCAACATATGCTTGGCGATTGTGTCAATGCAATTGTTAAATGGCATTATAGACCAAATCGTGAAAGAGACACCAGTTCATTGACAAACTTATTATGCGGCGAAGATGGTTTAGTAAAATGCATGGAAAGTGCATTTTTATATGGATTCAAATCACAGCGATTATTTGGACGAAACTTTTATATTTGGGATTTTCTTGGTGAGTGTTTTTAAATTTTGAATTGAATCTTATTTTCTTTTTTGAAAAATTGTGTAAATTGGCGGCAATTAAACATTTCATTAAATTCAAATTACAGTTAAAGTGAAAGAACAATTCGAATTGAATTTGGTGGAAGAAGCATTGTCAACCGAAAATTCTAGTCCTGAATCTCCACATTCGCCTGCGCCAGCGCAAATGACACCGGCTGTTCGTCAAGAATTAACAGCAATTTGGAGATGTTATAACCACTTAATGGATGAAATCAACAATGTCACACAGTCGCTGGGAAAAGATGGCAAATTTCAACTATTCATTTGTCTTAGCTTAAGGTAAATGCCATAATTTCAATGTCAAACCGATCAATTCAATCGATTTAGATCACATAATATTCATCATTTTTTGTTGCAGAGAACATTTGCTGTATCGCATGCTTCAACCAATTGCAGCTACTCAAGTAACTCAGGAAATGTACGAAGACCAAAGTTTTATGAGACGAAAAGGCCTATTGACCTTTTTACGACAAATACTCGAACCGTTGGACGAGTTTCACATTGTTTTGGAAAACTCTCTGACGCAGGGAATTGCATCGCAGTGTTAAACAAAAACCATATACAATACATATAGATATATAGTCAATTCCAACACAAAATAAAAATGAAACCAAATACTCAATTAGGACTTTAAAATAGAGTTATTCTACCTATAAATGTCAAAGTATTTGTTTATTTTGCATAAATGTATACATTGACACTGCATTCTCAATGGATATTATTATGATATTAACAATTGGTCGCGTTTTTTTTGGAGAATTAAATAAAATGAAAAATTTGTATGCAAAACGGTGCATGGTTCGAATTCATACAGGAGCTTTATGTTCTACAACAATGGTGGGGAGAATCAATGCCATTGAATGCATTTTGTTTTCATTTCGTGCGTGCATTTTCCTCGATATTGCATGTCAAAAGAGAGATTTAATTTGATTCAAATCATTCATTCAAATACACATGCGCAGACGGCATTCATGCATGCAATAGTTTCGCATTTGATGCAACACACCAATTCGGTGGCTCCGATGCGATCCACTTTGAACGCAATTCCAAATTAAGATGTTGACATATATTGTACGTGTGTGTGTGTATATATTAATTCAACTAATATTCGATTGGATAATTCAATCAGCTACATTTCAAATAAAAAATAAAGATGTATATTTTATTAAATGATTCTACAACAACAACCAAAACTAAGCACAACCAAAACGGAAAAGAGGCAAATCGACGAATTGTGATGGAAGCAGATTGTCTTAAGTTAATTATAAATAAATTAAAAACGCGATTTTAAAATGAAATTTTGAAATCAATCTTCTTTGATAGAGCATAAAGTTTCTTTGTGATTAGGTCAACATATTTTCGTGTTCAATTTTCTTTTTGTTTTTAAATGTACAAATTGCTAATAATTCAGTTATGTGTTAAAAAAAAGAAACGTCCAAACAAAACAAGCCATTTGAATGTAAAATTTAATAAAACTTACCAAAGTCATTTTGAACAATTTACCTTGCGTTTAAGAATTTAAAAGAAACCTATTTCGGACAGTGTGTCGTTTATTGATATTACTATTATTATTACTAATTGATATAAACATTTCATGGAAGAAACACTCACACAAGTGATGTAGCATGTTTATCGAACAAATTTGAAGATTTAATTGAATAAATGTTTTGAGTTGAAACAAATCGATGAAGTTGTTCTTTTTAGTGATGCATTTTCTTAGCTTTCCAGTTTTATTACGAGTCTTGATACCGATTTTATTTCGACGCCAAATGTTCCCTCACATAATTATGAATCAAGGTAAAAATTATGGTTTGTAATAGCATCCTGTGTTAGAAAAAAAATGAATTTGCTTCGATTTTTTTGCTTTCTACTATTCGTGAATGGCAGTTTATTCGCAAAATATAAACTTTTCCTATTCATACGTAAAATATACGAAATAAAGTATATTCATTCGCATCAACATCGAAGAAAATTCGTATATTTCATTCGAAGCCATTCGCGAATACCGCATACTGTTTGCGAGATGCGACATATTGTCGTGATTTGTACATAAAAATTCCTCTTTAGTTTGTATGCGAGATCATTTGCTTTCATTCGCAAAATATGTATGAAACATTCGCTCGCAAATGCAACATTCGTATAAGTCGGAACCCACTAGATTTTTTGTTTCTCACTTTAATTTTTCATGAATTTTCAGATAATTCACGTGGCATATTAATCCATGCAAAACTTAATAATACACCAGGAGACAAAATGATGGTGATAATTTATACAACACAGAATCAAGACCTTATGGATCAATGCAATCAATTTGGATTGAATTTACTTCTTTTAAAGATTCAGGTTCCTTTTAATTTCAATATCATGTTGAAAGAAAATTTTATCGATATGACCAAAGCTCGAGGTAGAAAAAATACTGGTTCGAATTCTATCTTCTTCTCAGAAAAAAAACATTGATCGTAAAATGTTGGATGAATAACAATTTTTATTCGGTAATATTTCATAAAAAGGTGCTCTTTAAACGAAAAGCGATCAGTATTCCATTTAAATCTATAATTGTTGTCAGACATTCATATCAATTTAATGAGTTACAATTGCCATTATTTCGATCAGTTTACCTATAAATCCGTTTAAAACAAACAGGATCATGTTACGAAATGTGTCATTTATTGATTTGTGTCATTAAAATCCATACGAAAAGTGTTCATAAATATACACACAATGCGAAGCGTTTATGGAATGAAAAACAAAACGGCAAAACAAAGTGTAATAATTGGAGTAATCATTAAAAACTTAATGTTGTATGTTAAAAGAAATGCGCACTGGCGTGAACTTTTATCTTTGCTGTTTTTGTTGTTTCTCTCTCTCTCTCTCGTATTTTATTGGTCTTTTTTGTTCGCTGTTGATAATGGCCATTGTTGTAAAATATGTAAGTGTATGTAATTGTTGTTCAGTTTCTTGTTATTGTTTGTATTTGCGCAGCACGTTCTTCAGTACATGTAGGTGGTCTATATGCAAATAAGTCATAAAGCTTGCAAGTGCGGCAATTCGTTCCCTCTAATATCTCTCTCTCTCTCTCTCTCTTTCTCTATCACTGTCGCGGCCTTTTATCAAGTGCATTTGAATATAATTTGAAAAAGTGTTTCCCATTAAGAGAAGCATAGAGTAAATTGTGTTACGCGGATAATGAATAGATCGCACAGGTTGTTTTGTGTGTGAGCTGGCTACGTCCATTGCATGTGAAACATAAATTATGCGTTTGCCGGTGTGTGGACGTGAGTGTGCAAGTTTTGTTTCATTTCCTTCCGCTTCGATTTTATTTGTTTTGACGGTTTTCAATCGACACTTTACATACCTAATTGAATGCAATTATTGTCATTATTTTTCATAAAAATTTCTTTTCATTTGAATTGGTTTATTGCCAACGGTATGCAGTTTGAATGGGCCGCAAATCAGTTTGTGTTGGTGTATGTGTGTGATCGTCCACGTTCTGTTTGGTAATATATCCCAGAATGTGAAACCAAACATACCATATTACAAAATGTATGTTGTGCGCGAATCCCGTAGGAAGTTCCATAAAAAAAAGCGCACGAAATAACAACAGAGACTGACAAATGAAAAAAGTCTCAAATAATCTACACGCCAATGTTGATCATGCGAACTAACACGTTTTCTCTGCACACATCGCGAAAGTGAGTAGTGTCGAAACACAAAAACTATTACGAATATTATGTGTTCCACTATGCAAACGGTATGGTCTAGTACAAATCGTGGTAAATGGTTGACAAGCTTCATGTTGTGCGCGATGAGTACGTGTTTAATGATTATGCTTTTTTATTCTTTTTTTTATTCGTCGAGCGTGTTTTGTTATTGTTTTTTATTGGGTGTTGCGCGATGCGCTCGCTCGTTGACTCACGTGCGCGCGCGCTCACGCGCTTTTTTTTATTGTTCACTATGCCATTATGTTCATTTTACGATTCCTTGTACACAAGCTACAGTGGCCGTCGGGAACACGACGAATAAAAAAAAAGCAAACACAGTAAACTGGTCACAAAACGAACTCTCGCCGAATGTTCTTTATAAAAATCGTTTCTTTTATTACCGGATCGAATTCTTTGATTTTTTTCTTCAGTTTGTTGTTTTGAATTAAAAAGAAATGCGGTAAGTCGAAGGAATTTTCTTTTGGTGAATTATGTTCGCTTTTTGTTGCTCGTTTGTTTGGTTTTCATTTCGGTTTGGATTGAATCAGGGATCCAAAGGCTTGACACAATTCGAATTGTAACACTCTGAAAACAAATGATGAATTTTTGAAAATGATCGCATTTCGGTTAGAACCCAACTTGATTTTAGTAACATGCATGCATTTGTAGTTATTTCAAGATTCGTTTGTGTGTCGTGATCTTGGCTCGTGTTATTTCATTTTAAAAGTGTCTGTTTGACGAGTGTTCAGTGTATAATCGTAAATGGAACGAAGAGAAGAGTGCCAAAGAGAGGTAGAGAGAGAGAGACGGAAAAAAAGCAACACAGTATTATTAGTGAACGGCTGAAACACATGATGATACATATAAACACACGCAACGAAAAGGCAAAAAGTAAAACAGCAAAAACACACCATTGAAAACGTGCATTGAAACAGACTCATAGACTCGTGGGAACTAGTAAATCGTTGAGATCCCAAAACATTACGTCGAAGTCGTTGAGGATAAACATAATAACACACAAACACACACGTTCTCTTGTTGTTGGCTGCGTTTTGTTGGTGCTGTCGTCGAATTGAATTGTATCGTAAAGACGACGATACAGTGAAGAATAGAAGTGCACGCCAGTCAATAGAAGCGAAAAGCCAAAAAGAAATTAAAAAATGAAACAAAAACAACAAGAGAAAAAGAAAAAGAAGAAGAAAAAAAAAACACCCAAGATAAACCGACCACGAATGAACAAAAAGCAAAATTGTGAATGCGAACGGAGAAAGAGAGCAAAAGAATTGCATCAGAAGCGTAATGTGGATAGCAAAAGACAAAAAAAGGGCAAAACTCATAACATAACATCAATGAAATATACACAAGCTAACAACAGCAATCGAAGTAGCACCATGCGCGCTTGATAAACGTCTGTGTTTTAGAATTGGAGTGTGTTTTTATGCGCGTTCCAATATATGTATACTACACGAATTGTCCAATGTGACTCTTTATACATATATATTTTTATATATGCATACATATCCGTATGGAAGCTGGAAAAATCGTCTGCTTGATTTGTGTTGTGATGCTTTTTATGGATGTAAATGCAATTGCTGTTAATGCATCGGCATGACTTATGTTGGCATTCGGCGCGCGATGTTGTTTCGCATCTCGTGTGATCATTTATTGTTTTGTTATTTGATCGGTTTGGCTACGCTTTTCGGAATATCGTTTTCAATTCTCATTCTCGCATCTTTCTTTTTCTCATCGTGTGTGTGAACATACATTGCATACCCATATATTCTGTATCTAATCAATATTTTATTAGTTTTGTATCACCAAAAAAGGATCCATCATCTGCAAATTAATTCGTTCGGATTATCAAGTCGTCGCTTTCAAATGACTATGTCATACCTTGAAACTAATGCTAATTGACTTGCTCGTGTGTGTTTGTGTGCGTGCCTGTTGATCGTTTTTTCTCCACATGCGAGAATGAGAATTACTGATGAGATCGAATGACACCGAATCTAGTTTTGTTTGGTTGAGTTTTTTATTCGTTTCATTTTATGCGTCACAATTCAGACACATACCTGTCTCCACGTGAATTTCTGAATTCTATTTTGCTACTACAGTCACGTGGACACCGTTGATTTTACTTGCTCGTGTGCATTCATATTTAATTCTTTCGGTTTAAACTGCAATGAACGACTGCCAACTGCAATTCATGGTCAATTCAACGGGTGTAAAATGACAGAAAAGAAAATGAAAAAAAAAAAAAAAACAATATCAGGAAAGTTTCTGGCCAAAGGCGCCACTCACAGGGAAGAAGTTAATCAGAATAACTGCTTTTTTTATTTTTATTCCATGCAAATAACAAACCATACAACACAAGATTGACCATGAATATACATCAGCACATTCCATGATAGTCAACAATATGGTGTTATAATGACTTTGAATGAACTTCACACACCGCCTTAACACATCAAAATTTCTAATGGTAAGCAGTCATGTGCAGAAGCCACATGTACTTGCGGTGTGTGTTTCTTTTTTTCTGCTTTTTTAATCGAAATCAAAGCCAAAAAAAATTATAATCACATAAGTCTTCTTTAGACAAAGAACGATTCTCCTTACCCGCATCTGAGAAAATCTTTTCTTTTGCCTTCACTGTTTCGTTACGAAATATTTGTAATTGAAAAAATTTCTCCCAAAACTTAAAAAAAATGAATTTGTACGTCAATTAAAGTTTAAAATTTTATTTAATAATCAACATTTGTAAAATTTTGCACATAAATAATACATTGCACATGTTGGAATGAGCGACGTTCAGAAAATGCAGCAAAAAAATATCGATACATAAATATATTGTCGACTAAAGCGGGACGCGAAGAATGTTTCTGTAAAATATTTTCGTAAGCGCAAAAGACGCTCAAGAACTTCATAATAGTAAACATTAAACAGGAATGAAAGCAAAAATGACCAAATTCTTGACTTCGTTTTTTTTTTATTATTGTGCGTTCAAGTGCATTCATCTTTGGAATTAATATCTTATTGGCTGGCTAGTCTTTAATTATGCGCAATTGTTCAAGCCGGTGGAAAAGAAGAATGAATTGTTGAAAAGGGGTCCTAATGTTTCGTATTAACTAAATGTATAATATTAACGGTGTGTGTGTAACAAAGATGTTTCCTTTTTTTGGACAGAGTTTACACACATGCATTTGAAGTGCGAAATGATTGGAAAGCCGAAAAGTAGCATCGTTAAACCAAATTACTGGCCCTTAATGTATTTTGTTTGAGTTCCGAGTTTATTCTCCTCTTTTGTATGTTGTTCGTAATGATCCTTTGATTTTACACTGCATAACAACGGTCAATCATAATTTTACCGATCGTCGCCGATAATGATAAGATTCGGTTCGCAGGCAATGATATCGTCATGTTTTTTTCCCTCTCCGTTTCAGTGCAACGTGTTTTTGCGGTAGTGTGAATTTCGCACGTTTTAATGCAAACACATAAAACCGAACACATTTTAATAGAGGCTTCACATTTCAAGCCATATCATTTCAGTTTGCAAATGAGATCATTCGCTGTCGGCAAGCGCGGAAGTGACCAACCGACTTGCAAGACTTTGTTCATAAAATGTTCAATGGGAGCCTGTTTTAAACAGGCAAATTGAGATAAACATTCAGTTAAAAACTCGCATATATTTTTTTTTCTTATATGAAATTGTAGTCAGCACACGCCTTCATATAGTAGAAACTCAAGCATTGCATTTCTACTGTGTTCCATATATGGAAGGGCATTATTCGTTTAAACATGACACCTTTTGAGAAAATAGAAAATTTTAAATGCGCAAAAAAGACGTCGATGAATTGATTGCAATGAAATTGTTTCTTTGTTGTGATGTTTACAAAAAAAATCAAATTATTTCCTTCTGTGATTTTCTGGTTTGGTGGAAAAGCCAAACTTGAAAAAAAAACGCTTGTGTCACGATTAGTTCATTTGCTGTCATCAAAATCGTTTGTTTAAAAGTAAAATGTTCGATTTCCATCGATTTTTTTTTTGTTGCATCAAACCTATTACCGATAATTGCTCTCTTGCTTGTCTCTAATTTCCACACCAAATTGGTGCACATTTTCCATGCGAAACATTCTGATATACATCACACACACACACACACTTCGCACGCTCGACGATTTTATTCGAAAGCGCTGAAACGTGTATCAAGCGATAAATATTATTAACCATTTATGTATTGTTTGTACCAAATATGTAAAAGGCGTCATTGGCTCGAGTGTTTATTGAAAACGGCGCACAGTGAGCGGTAAAATGTCGAGCACACTTATTGCATGTATTCACTTTATCATCTTTGCGAACTGCCATCGATTCTTAAACAAATAGATATGCATAAAAGTGTGTAAACAATGAATGCAATCATTCTCACAGTACATGCCATCAAAAGAGAAAAGTAGAGGCGTATTAAATGCCAAATCAGTTTGCAAATCACCGGCGATACAACAGCAAAATAAAAGGCCAAGATACAAAAATTTATACGAAACGAAACAGAAAATATGAGAAAGAAAAAGGAGACCAAACAACGTGCATTTCAATGAAACGAAGTAGAGTTCCGTATGTGATCAATGGCAATGACAACAACAAAAAAAAAACAGAAAAACATACACAGCAAAGCAGAGAAAGAATGAAGAAAAAAAAATTAACAAGCGTTGCATCTTCCCGACTGTGACGACGGTGACGATATGTGTATTCCCACGATGATTTTCTATTCACTCTGAAATATTAGATCAAATAGTAAAAAATTATTTTTGTTTTGCAAAGAATAATATTATATCATAACGTGACCGAGAACTAAAACGGTTAGACCTTTTTTTGTTGTTTTGAAAAAGGACAAACAAACAAAATCATTTATGAGAAACGCTAGAATTTTCCACTTAAATGTGATTTATCTGTGCTGTTCGATCTCTCTTGTCAATCGCATTGAGCTGTGATTTGTGACTTTCATTGGTTTTTCTAACAAGTGCTTTCGCACAATTCAGTTGTTATGATATAGAGCATCTTTTTTTTTTGGTCGAGATCTCAAATGCAAAAAGCATATTTTCCTTGCAGAAAAAAAAATCCCACACCATAAAATTGAATCAAAATAAAATGTTAAATTTAAATGTGAAACGATGACAAAAGAAAACCATTACAATCCCGTTTCAATTTCATTTCAATCAAAGATAAAACACTGTTTCCGAAATTGTATAATTCACTTACTTAATTGATTGATTAATTTGGTTGTTGTTGCTTTTTCTTTGCTCGATCAAATTATCTGCGTATCAAAGTATTTTTGTTCGATAAATTCCATTATCTTTGTAAATGAATCATTTTCACAGCTCGGTAATTGATTCCAATCTTGTGTTTATTGCATTTTAAAAACGCGATAATAACTGACATTTATCATGCACAATTTTAATGGGATTGTAAGCAAAATGCATTTAAATTAAATGCATAATCGCAAATGAATTTCGCTTATGGAATTTTAATGACAGATATGAATTACTTCAATTTGAAACCTACCGTAATATTGTATGGGTATTCATTTTCCACTTAATGGTACAATTCTACGTTCAAGTTTCCACGTCAATACAACAAGAATTTTTTCTGATGGTTTTAGAGCGCAAAGTGACATAATTAATAAATAATTAGTAAAACGCAAATTAAATTGAATTTTCGAACACCTATTGTCACTTTTTGCGATACAATTGTTGTATTAAGCGACTGATGATGCTAACATGAGTTTAGCGAAATAATAAGGTGTTCAAAAATTCAATTTAATTTGCGTTTTACTAATTATTTATTTTTAACAAGAATTTTATTCAAAAAGAAATCTCACTCTTTATGATTCAAGTTTGAAATTTTTAGCAATGAAGCTCATTGAATTCACGTAAAAATCGTAGTGAATTTTGAATCTTACCATCTCCAAAAATGCGCTGAAAAAAATGTGTTTGTTTTTCTCTGTGCGGAATAAAGTATGATTTTCTAGATATAAGTAAAAGCCATCAGAATTATTTCCATTAAAATACTATTTCGTTTTATTGTCTTTTTTCTCTTTCGCTCATTTTTTTATCAACTAATATTTTATCACAGAGAATATAACAATGTAAAAATTACTTAATCAAACGGTTCAAACTAAATGAGATTGATTCGAGATTTTTTTTTTATAAAAAAATAGATTACACCATAAAACTTAAATAAATTTTGTTTTAAAACACAAATTGTAGAGTAAAAAATGATTGACAATTTAAAAAAAATAGAAAAAAATATTTAAAATAGAAAAAAAATAATAAAGCAAACGAAACAAGTCAAAGGTGTATCTTATTTGCTAGAATTATATTTAGCTAATTAAAGCTAATCTCACTGGATACTTTCGTTTCTTATTTGGGTGCATTTTTTAAAAAAAATTCTACCATTTATAAATGGCTTCATTTCTTTGAAATAAAATCATGTGAATTAAAATAAAAACTCTAAACAATAAAAGTCAAACCAATTTGTGTCAAAGAAAATTTAAAAAAATGAAATGAAAACTTATTGGAAGACACGACGATCCTTCTATGAGTGGCTTATGCAATCGGATCCATTCAAAAATCTATATTGATTTTTCATTTTATTTTTTTTTTGGTATATTGTATACTGTTTATGTTCTGTCTATGAGAGAAGAACCAAATCACATTTTGAATGCATGCACAGATGTGCGCATTGTTTACCACGGTCGCCAAACGGATGAATCATCGATGTCGATTTTTGGCGAAATTGGTGGTGTATTAACGCGTGTAGATGATTCCATCATTGAATCTGGTGTTGTGGCTGGAGATCGATTTGCGTAAATATGATTTGGTGGGTACATGATTTGGTGCTTTGGTTGTGGCATCATTGGTGCTGGCACTGGTGATCGTCCCTTTGTTGACCAAGCGGCGGATGGTGATTGACGATGGTGTGCGGCAGCAGCAGCAGCGGCATGCGCATTTATTTGGTTCGGTGATTGAATTTGAATGGATGGCCGTTGTGATTGCATGGGATTGTTTGCGTATTGTTGGTGCATATGCATTGCATTGCTTGGGCTTGCATTTCGTTCCATATGATTCATGCAACTGTTTAAATGTTTGATGATCGGTACAGATGTCTCTTGGTCGACAACATTCAAAAAGTTTGATACTTCAGCGGCACAATGACGAAAACCTGCTTTGAATTTTTCAGCATATGAATTCTCTGAACGTACACCCAAAATATTTTGACGACGCAATGTATGCAAATGACGAACGGTCAATTCGAGGATGTCGGCTTTTTCCAATTTTGCAACATTTTCACCTTCCTATCGATCGAAAAGAAAAATCGAATAAAAAAAATGGCTTGATTAGAAATTTGAATGAAACGAAATTTTATTGATTAAACAAAAAAAGTCATTCAGTTTGCATTTTAAAATGTCCCTTTCAAATGCGATCTACATTTCTGAGCCACGAAAATGCAAACGGAAATTTCGATTTTTTTTTTTTTTTTTTTTTTTGTTGAAATTAGTTTTGATAAAAAAAATACTTACAGTTTGCAAAGCATTTGTCATAAGTTCCTTTAATTCGTCAAGGCATCGATTAATGCGAGCCCGTCGTTTGCGTTCAAGCATTGGTTTCATCACTTTTCGGTATTGGTATGTTCTCGAGACCGGTTCACCACTGGCATCGGTTAAAACGAAATTCTGATTTGGTGCCATTTCTTTAAATTTTTATCTTTTTTTTTCAACAATTTTTTAAAAACACATTCACATAAATATTCGTCGTATCAAAAAAATGTTTTTGTTTTAAATCAAACTCTGTAAACACTGTGTAAAAAAATACCATTAACGAAACAAAATAAAAAAAAACGTTTGAAAAATCAACTAACAAATTTTCAAAGAACGTTCGGTATTGTTATTGTTTTAGTATCGAAATGTGTAACTGTTCAACTGTTTTGTTTAACACGTCTATATTGGTCTATCGCAATTTACGAAGTAATTCGTCAAAACTATGAGCCCTCTTATTTATAATGTGTCGCCGTTCGGCATTCGCCCCACCACTCAACCACCGCACTTATTCACATCGTCCAATGTGAGAGAACGTTCGTGTACGGTACGTGCGGTTCGTTAGTGTATCGTGTGCGAGCTGCGCATGAAAATTCATTCTATACATAACTCATAACTCCTCCTTTTATATATTGGTTGTTTGTTTGTTGAACAGCAGCAAGCAGCAAGCAGCAATGGCAATAGAACGAACAAGAGAGTAAGCGAGAGCGCGCTCGGCGTGTGCGTTTCTTTTTAAAAGCGGTCACCGGTAGTCAAACAAAAGACGTTTTTCTTGTTCTTCTCGCATTGCTTCTCTATCTTGCATGCTCAGGCGTTAAGCAATAAGAGAAATACAAGAGAGAATTTAAAGAAGGAAAAAAAAAGCGGCAGCACTTAGCGTGTGCGATCATTTTTGAACATCTAATGCAACACGTTCTGGAAATGAACGCTTCTTTCGTGTGCTATGTCCGTGTTTGGCATGTTCCTCTCTTCTTTATTTGTTCTCGTGTTCGTACCATAGTAATCTTTCTCTTCATACTGTGTGTGAGAGCGATCGCTTTTTGCTCGTTGATTTTTTTCTTTGGTTTTTTTTTCCTTCTTCTTCGTCGTCGTCTTTCGATTACTGATGTTTTCAATGCGCGTACATCGGAACGTGTGCCTTTTCACTGTGTGTACGCTCGCACAAAAGACTTCTGATGCATTCGGAAAGAGAATTCGATGCATTACACATACTAAGATTGCATGGTGTTTGCCATTGTGATCAATCTATTGAAATGCATACACCAATAAAGAAAAGGATTCAAATTAAGAAGCTTTTTGCCCTCGAGTGAGAATTCACGTCGAAATTTTTCATTTGCATTTTGCGTCAATTTTACCAAAAGATTTTTGCATCCTCATCTCTTTCTTTCCATTTTCATTGTTCGCAATCAAGCTTGATTTCTTAATATATTTATGTTTTTTTTTCTTCGTTAAAACAAAGTAAAGCGAGCATTGCTTAAACTTTTAAAGGGTTACATGATTAACGGCGATTATGCCAAGCGATGCGATCATGATTTTGATATGAAAAATAAATTAAAAACATTCATCACACTCGACAAAAACTGTTAACACTCTCATGACATTAAATGACAAAAAACGAGCGAATTAGATGAATTGTTTGTTAAAAAAAAGACCGAATAAATTACATTGGCTGTCGCGTCACCAAAACGATGAGAACATTATGACGAAAAGAAGGGAAAAAAAACAAACTCGAAAAGTGTACTTAATCGCGCGCGCCGACATCGTCGCGAGCATTAAATAAAAAAAAAACGAAGACGGTAGAAAAAGCCGGCATTATTACTCGGAAATAGCGTCCAAACAGTCATAACAATATCATTTAGATTTTTGAGAATCAGTGATTCATTAAAAGAAAAATTAGGCGATTTGATACAGATGCATTTCGTTCTCACTGTGCGATTCTTTCTGGTTGCTGCTTTTGACCTCTTCCGACCACTTATTTGTTATTATTATTATTATTATCTCGTGCGTTAGTACGATTACCTAGCTATTTGGATGTGTGGTTTGAATGCATTGTTTCCCATCAAGCCTCTCTTGCCACTCTCTCAAAACTATTTAGCAAATTCTTTGTTCTTATTTTTTGTTCCGTCGATGATGTTCTTTTTTTTATTATTACAACTCTTTTCTTCTTTCTTCCTTTTATTCTCCACAAGATCGTCTACTTTTTCTTATGTTACATTGCTCTTTCTTTCTCTCACTTCGCTTCCACTTTATTGCTGCTACTTTACTTCTTGTTAGATGCTTCTTTTTTTCGTAAAGAGAAAAAAACCATGTTTAATTTTTATTTCTTCATTCGCGCCGGCGACTTTAATTTTCAATTTCTCTGGATGGAAAAAGAAATTTTCTCACAGTGCTTTTTTGCTGCCGTTGTTGTTGTTGTTGCTGTTTCGGATCTGTCTCACGCATGTTGTGATGGAAGTACGTGTAGAGTAATTAGATGAATGAAATGAAATATGTGTAGAGATGGCGAGAGCAAAACAACCACTGAGAACGGCGACGACAACGACGATGACGGCAACGGCGGCGGTGAATAAATCTAGTTGCATCGGAAGAAAATTATAAGACATGAGACACGAAAATGCGCTAATGCTACAAACGGCTAGAAATTACGTCAAACATGCAATGGAAATCATGTTAAATTGTGCAGCGTCTCAATTGCCACAAATCACGGTTCTCGTAGTGTTTTTATAATGCTTTATTCGGCATCGGTGTGAACAACATCAAAAATTAAAAAAAAACATTAGTAATTGTCTACAATGTGCATGGATGGTTGATATGTGAAAATCAATGAGATAATGCGCCGGACTGGACGTTTCAATTGATTGGAGCAATTAAATTGTTTTGTTTTTGAAACAGTCCAATTCCATTTATAGCGCGAATATATTATGTTGCTTCTTTATTTGGTTTGCGTTTGAAATGGCACTTACTTATTCAACTGACACCACAGCAAGCATAAATGCTGCAATTCGTTAAAGTACGTTTTAGAGTTCAATGTATGCAAAGAATGAAGGACATAAGTGGTGTCTAGTTTAACGCTTTTGGAACGAATAAAAAAAAACGAGCAACACAAAACTTTAGTTCATGCGAAACCGAAAAACCACGTGTAATTTCAAGCTCTTCTTCTGTTGTATTGTTTTTCTTCGCTCGCGTTACATTTCTATGACGCTTTTTTTCACGCTACACATTTCCATTGAATTGAACAAACACTTTCATTTTCACAAAATTGATCGAACTTTCGTCATTTTTTTGGAAAATAATTTTGTGTGAATAATTAGACTTAATCCAAGAATATTTCATGCTTAAAGAAGAAAATATTGCTTCGATCGATGAAGCTCGAGTTCCAAAGAATGAAGAAAGTAAGCGTTGAAATGCTGGGAAAACGCGCCAAATAGATTCATTGAATTGTTATTTGCCAAAGAACTGAGAAATTGATGGCATATATTTTTGTAAGAGCGCGCGAAATTTAAAGCGCGTGCGTTTTCGTTTTTCCCATTCTCATTTGCGGGCAAAATGTCAATGACTGTGTATTTACGACGAAAATAACATTTTTAAGCGAGTGTTGAGCAAAAAAAAAAACCGCGCAGATTGCAACAATTGCTGAAATTGAAAACCATAACAGTTTGTATAGAAGTGCGTATTTACAATTGGAACAGGCTTCTCTTTATGCTCATACTCTCTTTCTCACTGGTGTTATTTCTGCCAACAACAAAAAATATATATGATCGACAACACAAATCATAAACGAAATAAATTTAATGAAATGCGCATTGTGCCGCGCTCGTTGATTCACAAAAATAAATAGCCGATTGTAAGTGTGAATAAATAAACAGGAATCACACATACACATAGCACACACAAAAAAACATACATGATGAAGCAGCGGAGTGAAGCGGAAAAGAAGCAAACGCATGCAAAAAAAAAGAATTAAGTATCGTTGAAATCAGAGTACAAACTAAGGTGCACTTTCGATATCGCACCATTCGGCCGAGTCATGTTATCATGATATCATTTGACTGCATTGCGGTTACTATTCCTTTCTCTCTCCCTCTTTCCTGCTATGTTGTTTGTCACGCTTTTTTTCTCAATTTTTTCAGTTGGTCGCCGTTGTTTGTTGCATGGATTGGATTGAATCGGTAAGCCAAGAAGAAATTGGGTGTACATTTCATTTTATGCACGTATAACGGCTGTCGTGCGCTCATTGACAGCTCAGATTCAATTTCATCGTTCAAAAACCTTCGAATTCATTCACCTTGTAGAATATTTCCATATTTTGCATTCGGATATCATATACATATGCACTTCATGTGCAAACGATCGCCCAATTTTTTTGTTTTGGCAAATAATAATCCAAACAAAATATTATTTTTAGGATGGCATTCAAATGTACATTTTTTTTTTTGATTACACATTCCGCCAAAAATATAATCGATTTGCGCAATGAAAATCCGAACAGAAGCTAATCGCAATGAAAGAAGCAATGAAAATAATGGCATTAAAAAGCAAAAAAAAATATTTGCGCCAAAAATTGTGGAATTTTTTATGCATTATTCGGCTTTCTGGTCGTGTTCTAACTGTCAAGCATGAACTGTGAATTCTTATGGACAAACAAAGTGGCCAAATTTATGCAACATACTTTTAATCAGCAAATAATTTTAATTGAACCATTGGCCAAAAAAACGAGTACGTGTTTTCGTTGTAATTGGATTGAGGCGGATATTTTTGGATATGTTGAGTTCGTGCTCGCGATATTTGGTCGAATCGATTATTTTGGTTGTACAGGGGCGCACGCGCATGATCGCGTACATTTCATTCTTCATATAATAAACAAGCGCTCGATCGATATGGCTTTTATGGAACAATATGGGTATCAGTTTTCATCATTTTCGCAATTGTGTGATCGAAAAGATTATTGGCACGAAGTCGAAAACGTGTGAAATATTTTCGGACAATATCTATATTACAAAACAAGACGACAAAAATAACAAATAATAACAACAACATAGCTGGGAACATATTTAATGCAAAAAGAAGAATTGAACAAAAGTGGCCACGGAAATTATTGTGCAAAGTTTGAAATAATTTAAATATATGCGCGGTTGAATGGAAATGGTTTGTTCGATCCTTTTTCGCGTTTTTCCCTTTTCTCTCTCTCTTTCTCAAATAAAAGACTCAAAACAGTCTGCACAGAAATAAAGGTACAAATCGTTTTTCTTTCTT